GAAACACCTGTGCTATGACCAACGTGACACCGACTTTTTTGCCAATTTTTTCATATTTTGATGCAAAATACGTCCCAATCGCTCGTTCGGTGACTATTGCTGGTATTGAAATAGCGTTCAAAAATATTGTTAACGTGATTAATGTACGGATCAAGAAGCATTCCCATAATGACATCATGTAATCACAATCGTTGTCAGAATGCTTGTGATATGTAATCAGTAAATATGCATAAGCGAAGATTCTGTAGTTATTTGTGAACGATTTAATTAATATTTTCGTAAATACATTACTGCACGATAAATTTGTTGTTTACATCAAAATAATAAAAGAATTCACATTGTGAATGCGAACAGAAATAAGTGTTCTCAAAGATGTATTTGATTAACTTCTGCTTTAAAGTGCTAAAGAAAAAGAATGGATAATTTATAAAACATCACTCTTAAATAACTGCTTCAGATTTGTTCAGGACTGGACTTTTAACGTGAAGTTCTTTGTTTAACTTAACATTTTGTCAGAGTGTGGTAAGAAACTTCATCAATAAAACAATGCTAAACAGAACGACCTGGCGATGCAGTGAATGATAAGCCATATTTGGTGAACGATGAGCAACATTCGGGTATTTTGATGGAGTAACATCTGACTGGTTTTACCTTTTATCGCCCACAATTCAGCAATAACTGCCAAAGCTGATATGACTGCAATGCTGATAAAAAGTTGACGGAGTGTTTGGCTGTGAGCTAATTCCGATGCTTCTTGACAAGATTCCATAGCAGCGCTGTAATTTAGCACATTTTGCAATACTTTTGAATAATTAAGCCTTTTTTGCAGAAAAAGGCTTATTTATTCAAGTTTTTTTGTCTTTTTATCTAATTTCTATAAATGTACTACGTGATAGCATTTAGTAAATTTATCGAAAATGCCAAACCAAGAACATTTTTTGAAGCATGAAGCATCTGAACATTTTAAATGACCTAAAGTTTATTTTTAATTATTTTAAAACATATTATTTCCAGTAAATTATGGCTTACATAATTGCTGTCAACATTTTAATTCAGTTTCTTGAAAGACATACAATTATTTTGAGCTTTCTACTAAAAATTTCGC